AATAGAATGTATTATTTACAGAGAAAATGTTTATGAAAAATTTCATTTTTGATAATTAAAAAGCAGCGAGGGGGATAAAGCAGCCACCTATACTATCCATGCGGCGGCGTCCCAACACCTATACTATCCATGCGGCGGCGGCCCAACACTACAACACTAAATGTCTCTGAACCCAATCTGTCTGTATCCAGGGACAATCCTCTATCCCGAACCGCAGGTAAGGTAAAAAGATGTGGCCGTCTGTCAACTGTATGGACAAACCTGGCATTCCTGCGGCAAGAATCCCAGCCACACATAATAGCCCCGTGTGAATGTAGCCTGACAATTTTGATTGTCACGTTTGAAAATTATCTTCTTTTCAATAAAAATATTGAACAAGAAAATTATATATTTTTTTTCTACAGTTGTTGAATATTTTATTTTATATATTCTTAAAGGGATCTCAGAGTCACTTTAACTGCAGCATTCTTTTTTTCCCATTCTTTGATTAAAGGTATTTATAGTTTTAAATTCACTGGCACCTTAGTTTTTGGGTGGATTCCAGTAGTTAAAGGTCCCTTTAAAGCAACAGAGTGCTTGCACACCTCATTTATTCTTTATAAATATGTATGAAGAAGATGCCTCTGACCATGGCTTGGCATAAAGCCAAGAAAAGTATATTGCAGTGTATTTGCAAGTATGGTGCGTTAACCTTCAAAGGTAAACGTTAATAATGGTTCTACTGGATCACCAGTTATTGAAGGTTTTTGCATACTTGCTATATAAATTTTTTTGCACTGATGTTTGTGTTTTCTTCGGTTAGGCCCCTTTCACATGGGCGGTCCGATTGTGTCCGCACGTCCGGTTTTCATGTGGACCCGATTGGATACCTAATGCTAGTCTAGGGGCAGCTGGGTCTAAACAGACAAGCATCTGTTTACACCCAGTTACCCCCAACTCTGGCCAGGTCCGGAAAAACAAACAGAACAGAATTGTGTTTCGAGGGTGCTGGATCGGGGGAAATCTGATGTAAACAGACCTATGTCTGTTTGCTTCTGACTCCCCATAGACAGACATGGGGTCCAGTAATTTCAGTTATTTCGATGGAGGAAACAAACTGGACAAACACGGATGTCACAGCGGTAACATCTGATCCGTTACACATCAGTCAGGAGGGGATCTGTGCACGTGCTGATCAGCCCATTAGAAAGGGTCCTTAGATCTATGCAAGTCATTGTTATGCAGCCATTAAAAGAGAACTCCATGCAATTAGAAAAGGCATACATAACAGTCCTCCTGTCTGCCTTTTGTTCTTCAATGCACCAATTTTAAAGGAAAAGTAACACTTTTGTATCATGTGAGCACCCCACTTTTACTGGTACAGGCTAGCCATTACACAGAATGAAGGTTATCCAGCAACAGCCCCATTCATATGCACACCGTAAACCTGCATCTGAAGTTAGAGGTGCACCGAAATGACATTTTCAAAAACGAAACCGAAAAAAATGTTTTTTTCCTAACCTTTTCAAATTTTAAAAAATATTGTATTTTTATTAATTTTTGATTAAATATCTTTTTTTACTTTACTGCCGGGGGCTTCGGGAAATATTGGGGGTCTAAACAGACCCCTGATATTTCCCTTTTAAAATAGAAAAAGAGATTGAGGACACAGAGTCCTCAATCTCTTTTTCTGCGGCCCCTGTTATAAATGAACAGGAATCCTCCATACTGAGTTTTCCTGTTCATTCATAACATGAGGACAGAGTATGTTTACTATAACCACAATCATGAATGAACAGGAAGTGATGTAGATCGCTTACCATTCATTCATAATCGGGGACACAGTAAACATTCTATGTTCTCAATTATTTACAAACACTCAGCGATCACTGACTGCTTGTAACCGCTCTCCATCCTGACACGCTGTCACAGGAGACTGAATGAGCGGTGCGGGGAGGAGAGCTCGATCTCCTTTGACAGTTGACATAAACACTCAGCGATCACTGACTGCTTGTACCCGCTCTGCTTCCTGACACGCTGCCACAGGAGACTGAAGAGCGGTGTGGGGAGGAGAGCTCGATCTGACAGCTGACTCCTCCCCAGCACAGCTGGCCCCGCCCCCACACTGCCGCTCTCCTGATCTGTCACAGGAGGCTGAGCGGGGCGGTGTGGGAGGAGAGCTCAACCTCCTGTGACCACACTGACAGCTGTCTCCACCCCCACACTGCTCTCCTAATGTGTCACAGGAGGCTGAGCGGTGCGGAAAGAGAGAGGCCTACAGCTCTCCCCTGCACCACTCGGCATCCTGTGACAGTTTCTCTCCTCCCCGCTGGACGCTGCGCTATTCCTCCCCGCCCCGTTCGGCCTCCTGACAGTTTTCCTCCTCCCTGCTGGACGCTGCACTGTCAGAGGGGACACAGAGCAGCGTCCAGCGGGGAGGAGAGAAACCAGGTATGCACCTGAATTTTGGCCGAAAGATGGCACTTACGGCATTTTGCCAAAATTTGGTGCATCTGAAGTAATTACTAACAAATAACTCTTTTTCCAACACTCAGTAAAAAAGGAATACAGCATCTGATATTTAGGTTCACTGGTGACTTTATCCTGAGTGGAGGTCTCTAGGTGGGAGAACTAGGGGAATACGGTATTTATAAATGTCTTCATACAAGATCCACACAACAGTTGCCCAAGCCTCACACTTTTCTAATCGGATTCAATTGGAAACTGTGTGAAAGATGTGATTCTTGTGTGACTAAATAGACCCCTTTGTGTAGCAATATGCCAGTTCTGGTAACTGAAAAGCTGCAGTTCTGTGGTTCCCAATAACATTTTCATTCCAGAACCCTATTTGGTAATGAACAAGGGTCTGCGTAGCATTCTTGTAAACGATCCTCTTGTTAGTTTGTTTTTATTTGGTCTAATATTGTCTCATGTTTTTCTGCCTAACTCTAATACGTTTTTATTAACAATGCAAAAATAGAAGCCGCCTGTTTGGTTTTGAAGCTGTTTTGATGTAACAGTATTATTTTATTGCAGATTTCATTATCAGGGAGCTGTAATGAGATGCAAAGGGGTGTAAATGCCACATAATGTTTACTTTTACAGAGTGGATCTATGGAACAATGGAAATCTTGCTCAAGATGTTTTTCTTGGAGAGATCAGAACTTCAGTGAGTGTTTTGAGGAATGATTCGATCCACAGGGCATGGTATGTATCCCTTCTTTTGACATAACATTGATGTCCCTCCTATGTCTGTATGTTTTTACAGAACCTTTACAGAGAATGCAGAGCCCTTTACATCACTAGCTAGTTACAGTCAATGTGGCTTGTTCTGTAATGTTGAAGGTGCTTTGGTGCTCATCCAAGCTTCTTCACTTCCAATATGTGTAAGGATCATACCCCAATATTTATAGCCACATTGGTAACTCTATATAATCCATGTGACTATATTACTCCATGTGTTCTGCCTCTCCCCTCTATTCCGGGAGTCTTTGGCATCATCTGTTACCCTCATATTATGCTGTTTTAACATCTCTACCCCAGCGACTTGTCAGTAATTCACACCTTCAGCCAAATGGGTAGCACCTGTTCCGGACATCACTGCATCATGGGGATCGGTTTATGTTATTAGAATAGGGACTTACACACCTCCCACCATGTTCTTGGACAATCAGCTTTGACACATTCCATGGTGATTGAATCAAGGTGGCATGGTTACCCGTGTCGCTATAAATGCCTGACACTCTCGAACTGAAGAAGCTGCTTGAATAAGCAATAATGCCTTTAGGGCCTGTTCACATGAGATCAGGTCCTGATCAGCAGACGTGGAGCTGCTGATGCATTGCGTTTTTGGCTGCGTTTTGGCCGCGTTTTGGGGCTGTTAGTATGTTAGCTGCAGCGCAGTGCGTTTTTGACGCGTTTGCGTATCCGTTCCGTTTCGTATTTCGTTACGGTCGTAAGCTGAACGGACTGCGCACGTGAGAACTGGAGCCCATAAAACACATAGGGATACATTGGGATGCATTTTGAGTGCAGCAGCGTACGGAGCCGGTCAGCACACAAAACGGACGTCGTGTGAACAGGCCCTTAACGTTCCAAAACAAGTCCGGTTGAATGTGTGACTAACAGCTAGGAATACCAGGACCTGAATGAGTAAGAACCTTCAGACATTTACATCACTATGCCCTCCTAAACACTGCTTTATCTCCCTACCACCAGCATGCAGACAGCATGCAATTAGATAAGGCGTGGGTTAAAACTGATTACACAGAAGAACTTCTTCTTATAGAGGGTGTTTCTAGATGCAGGTTGTGGGATTTGTGTGTTGTATTCCCTCCCTTGTATTTAAATAAATCTGATTTCTGATTTAAAAAACAATCTGAGCATTTTCACTTCTCCACTTAGAAAGAATATCCTGCAATTGCAGATTCCTATTAAAGCTTACTGAAACTGGAAACTACATTTTAAATACACCTGTCATGAGAGAAATATGTAGGCTGGCATATCTTGCTATTTGACTAACTATAAGGTTAAGTCTTTCCAAGACGCTGCCCAGAACACCTGTAGAGATACAAAATCTGATCACTTTTCTGACCCTCGTGCTATGTTTGTTACAGGTCTGTGATATATTTAAGCCAGAAATAGCCAGGCAACTAGCTTTTTCAGACTCAGCCCAGCAGCTGCTTGCTTACTTCATTCTATCCTTACTGATGTACTTCAAATATGTACCTTCATCACCACCTGCTGGACAAATGTGATAATACAGCCTTTTATTAAAATAACACTAAACTCAGGAGTTAAATCTTAAACATGCATTCAAGTACCTTAATTAGTAACAAAAATGTATCTTATCTGTGTATCACTCGGCTGCAGATCCTCAAATCATCTCTGAATTGGTGCGGACACTGTCCTTCCTTCTGGAGGGGGGCTACGTTTGTTCCCCATCCATTTTTAAGATTTAACTCCTGAGTTTAGTGTCACTTTAAGTGTCAACCCCTGTATTTCTTTAATGAAAGATGTGCCTTAAAGTGTCAAAGTTGTTTGTTTTTCTTTTTTTCTAGGTGCTAGCATTACTAGATCCTATGCAACATAAGATGTTGGTCTGTTGCAAACAACTGGGATCGAGCGAATGCACAGTATATAGCACGGGTGGACAAATCCCAGGACCCAGGTCACCAATGCTCCTTACAAATTTCAGCTGTCCCCTAACACCTGAGGTTTTCTCTAGTTATTGTCAATAGAGCTAGCACCTAAAACAAAAAAATCCTGCTGGCTTCTGGATGAAACAATCTGGCTCTTGATTTCTGTATTCCTTTATCCACCCCTGGTATACAGCATCAGTCACATGTCTGGTATATGAAGCCATTTTATGGGCAGGATAAATATTTCTGAAATTCTGAATGTCATTGGCAGGAGGTATCTATGATTAGACTACTGATGTTTGCTCTTACTGTGTATATGTGCAGGTACAGCCAGTATTCTCTTCCAAAAGTGAACTCAGCATTTGGAGCACAAGGGTCACATTATTCTTCTTGCCTTTTTGTAATGTTACCGTGCAGAAGTTAGACGTGACACTTTTTGATTATTTTTTGTTTTTTAGGTATCTTCTCCAGCCAAAAGACAACGGAAGTAAATCTTCGAAGTATGATGACCTGGGCTCCATTAGACTTAGTATATGCTATACAGAGGACTATGTGCTCTCTTCAGAGTTCTATGCGCCTCTGAGGAGTCTTCTGGTGAAATCATCAGACTTTCAGGTACTTAAAACACGAGTCATTCAAATCTTCGATATTATTTAAAAGCAAATTTTTACACCTAAATAAAATGCTTGAAGTTCAAATGGTACAGAGCTACATCTACAGAAGTGCAATCTTCATAATTGTTCAATAAAAGAATTGGAAAGCAGTACTAAAAACTCCTGTGTGGTGGGGTTTGTATCACTTGCTCCTATCCATTTACTAAAATACACTTCACATTATGTATATATCCGGTCTGCTGGCTGTCAGAAGGATTATAAAACTAATTCAGTACAGTTCTTGGCAAACCTCTGACTGAATTGCTTAAGCAAATGAGTGCTGTAATGCCAACTGTCAATAGATGGTTCCAAGCCTGCCTTGGTCTTCCAACAGGAATAGCGTTACCTCCTGTAGCTGTCATCGCAATCACAGAGTTTGAGGCTCGACAAAGAGAACAGTGTTCCTTGAAACGCATCAACTGACACTATAGCAACCAGTAACGTCACACAAGCATGCATATCATCTGGCCTCCTGTCTGCAGCCAGAACAAGCTTTAACTCATTCAGCTTTTCCTCCTGAACTCTGGGAATGGGAGAATATCGGCTGCAGAAGGTATTTTATTGCTTTTGGTGTCATGACTATAAGCCCAGGGCAGGCATTGAACCATCTAATTACATTTGTCATTATAACATTCACAATTTTGACAATGCAATGCATTTGCTATGAACTGTATGGAAGCAGTTTTGTTATCCTGACAGCCAACAGACCTTATATTATACACACATTTCTGAAAGCCACCAGCACTCCATACGGTCTCACAAGTTTGCAATATTAGTGGTGCTCGAGGTGATCACATGGATGGCGCCGTGCAAAACTCGGAGTAATCACAGTGGTTCACCGGCACACACAAAGGAAAATTCCAATATCAATATCTTGTTAATATGTTTATTTGAAAAATGTCACTTCATGTCCTCAGAAGATAACGTTTCGGGACCTTGCGGGGGCCCTTCATCGGAGCGACATAGTGACAAGATATACAAGTGAACACCAGGTATATACACACATCGGGCCAGATGCATGAAGAAACATCTCATGATGTCATCTCCCACCAGAATTCAATTAATACGCATCACAGAATGCTATCAACAAGATAGTCATGTAAAACAAAGATCTATATCCTAAATGAACCTTTTAAAAATATCAAAAAGACTTGTGGACTGTTTATGTGCTAGTACACAATGAGGTGAATTTATCAACACTGGAGCAGCCAGAATCTGGAGCAGCTGTGCACGGCAACCAATCAGCTTCTCTCTTTCTTTTTTAAATCTTAACTGAACAAACTGAAGAGAGAAGTTGATTGGTTGCCATGGCCAACTGCTACATATTATACAGTTGTGCTCATAAGTTTACATACCCTGGCAGAATTTATGATTTCCTGGCCATTTTTCAGAGAATATGAATGATGGCACGAAAACCTTTCTCTCACTCATGGGTAGGGTTTGGCTGAAGCCATTTATTATCAATCAACTGTGTGTTTACTCTTTTTCAATCATAATGACAACAGAAACTACCCAAATGACCCCGATCAAAAGTTTAAATACCCCAGTTCTTAATACGGTGTGTTGCCCCCTTTAACATCAATGACAGCTTGAAGTCTTTTGTGGTATGTGTGGATGAGGCTCTTTATCTTCTCAGATGGTAAAGCTGCCCATTCTTCCTGGCAAAAAGCCTCCAGGTCCTGTAAATTCTTGGGCTGTCTTGCATGAACTGCACGTTTGAGATCTCCCCAGAGTGGCTCAATGATATTGAGGTCAGGAGACTGAGATGGCCACTCCAGAACCTTCACTTTATTCTGCTGTAGCCAATGACAGGTCGACTTGGCCTTGTGTTTAGGATCATTGTCATGTTGGAATGTCCAAGTACGTCCCATGCGCAGCTTCCGGGCTGATGCATGCAAATTGTCCTCCAGTATCTTTTGATAACATACTGCATTCATCGTGCCATCAATTCTGACCAACTTTCCTGTGCCTTTGTAGCTCACACATCCCCAAAACATCAGCGATCCACCTCTGTGTTACACAGTAGGAATGGTGTACTTTTCATCAGAGGCCTTGTTGACTCCTCTCCAAATGTAGCGTTTATGGTTGTGGCCGAAAAGCTCAATTTTGGTCTCATCACTCCAAATGACTTTGTGTCAGAAGGTTTGAGGCTTGTCTCTGTGCTGTTTGGCGTATTGTAAGCGGGATACTTTGTGGCATTTGCGTAGTAATGGCTTTCTTCTGCCGACTCGACAATGCAGCCCATCTTTCTTCAAGTGCCTCCTTATTGTGCATCTTGCAACAGCCACACCACATGTTTTCAGAGTGTCCTGTATTTCACCTGAAGCTATTTGTGGGTTTTTCTTTGCATCCCGAACAATTTTCCTGGCAGTTGTGGCTGACAGTTTAGTTGGTCTACCTGACCGTGGTTTGGTTTCAACAGAACCCCTCATGTTCCACTTCTTGATTAGAGTTTGAACACTGCTGATTGACTTTCTCAATTCCTTGGATATCTTCTTGTATCCCTTTCCTGTTCTATACAGTTCAACTACCTTTTCCCACAGGTCCTTTTGACATTTCTTTTGCTTTCCCCATGACTCAGAATCCAGACACGTCATTGCAGCACTGGACGAAGGATGCAAGGGTCTGTCAGGAGGCCAGAAACTCATTGGCCTTTTATACACACACACACACTGATTACATGCAAACAGATCACAGGTGAGGATGGTTCCCTTTAATAGCCATTCACACCCCTGTGTGCATGTTATCAGGCCAAAATCACCAGGTATGTAAACTTTTGATCAGGGTCATTTGGGTAGTTTCTGTTGTCATTATGATTGGAAAAGAGTAAACACAGTTGATTGATAATAAATGGCTTCAGCCAAACCCTACCCATGAGTGACTGAAAGGTTTTCGTGTTATCATTCATATTCTCTGAAAAATGGCCAGGAAATCATAAATTCTGCCAGGGTATGTAAACTTAGGAGCACCACTGTATCTGCTCCAGTTTTGATAAATTCCCCCCAATATATTCCTAATGTTGTTAGAGAGCTGCCCTTTGTATACTACAGGCAGCGTCCCCTGTTGCCATGGAAACATCAGTAGCGTGGAGAGCGGAGCGAAACTCTTAATGCGATTCCAGCGAGTATTCCAAATGAGACAACGCATGCGCCGGGGCCCGTAGACCCGCCTCCGGCGTCTCTCAGTTGCTAGGTAGCAGTCAGAGTGGCTTACATCGATCTGTCAGCTGCGGCCGCTGTGTAAACATGACAAGGGGGAGGACGAGGAGTATATCCTCAGTGTCCAGTACTAGTGACATTAGGATGACACGATGTCACTGTATTAGGGCGTGGCACATTGGTGCCTGCGTTCGGTCCAGTGCGATCTGCAAAAATAGTGCATACTGCATTTTTGCAGATCGCACTGGACCGGAACGCAGGCACTAATGTGCCACGCGTTCTGGTGCCGGCGATCGCACTGCGGGCAGAAGCGTTGTTGCAGTGCCATTGACTTCAATGCACCGCTACCCCCCCCCCCCCCCCCCTAAACAAAGTGAGCCGGCCGGGTTGCGTTCAGAGGCTAAATGCTGTAGCCAGCATCGTATAGCATGTAATTCAGTACAGTTCTTGGCAAACCTTTGACTGAATTGCTTAGGCAAATGAGTGCTGTAATGCCAACTGTCAATATATGGTTCCAAGCCTGCCTTGGTTTTCCAACAGGAATAGCGTTACCTCCTGTAGCTGTCATCCCAATCACAGAGTTTGAGGCTCGACAAAGAGAACAGTGTTCCTTGAAACGCATCCACTGACACTATAGCAACCAGTGAAAGGTGTCATAGCGGTGTCACAGACATGGCGATCGTTATTAAAAACACATTTCTACCTATAGGAAACTTATAACAGACTGGATATTCGTGAGGGAATATCTCATCAGCTCATAAGAAAACAATATCATACACACACACACACACACATTGTGCGGACTATTTTATTATTCCATACCATACATAACAGGAAGTGTTACATTTGTACATTGTCTTACCTCTTGGCACATGTACAATAATTGTAGTGTTGTATTGTATTGTTTGTATATTGTGAAATAAGTGTTGAACTGTAAGTTAAGTTTTTACTCCCTAAGAGCTCAATTACACTAGCCTGCATGCTAAAACTTTGTGGTTTAGCATGTGGGGCATGCTAAAAAAAAACAACTTTTATTTGGAGTGCACATTCCATTCAGGTCTCTGCACAGGAGTACGGGGTGCTGTGCAGAGCGGTAACTTTTGGTGTCACCCAGCACGTCTGCATTTGTCTGCACAGCGTGTCACACCCGCCTTGTGGCATGAACGCGACATATTGGAAACAATTGTTTACTGTGTGCCCTAGTGTTGGCTGGCGTTGATCAGATGCTGAAAACCACCAATCACCGATAATGGTGTGAATGAGCCTTTTGGCTGCATTTGATCTTTAAACTGTACATTTATGAAGGAGACCTTCATATGACATCTTTCTAACAGGCTGTTCAATATATGAGCTGATATTTCTCAACGCTGACCCTCCGAGAAGTCTCATATAGTCACTAGTTATTGGTAGAATAGCCCTTTCCTGTGGCTAAGCAGCACTGTGGACAGTTTTTTTTTCCCCCCAAAATATTTTATTAACATTTTCCATAAAGTCAGGTAAACATTGTATATAAAGATCAAACATTTAGCACAAAAGAGAAATATTAACAAAATGGTTCAAATCGCCAAGACTATTGTTGCAAAGAGAGAACACAGAGATATTCGTTGGATGTGGGGATAGCCCATGCAATATGTGGGCATAAGACGAAAATGGATGCTTAATCCATGGAGTCCATCTGGAACCAGACCAATAGTATGGTCGCATACAAAACATTGACTGAAAAAAATTACATGTCATCACATTTAGATACAAACTAGCATAGTAAACAACATCACCCCACCCAAAAGAGAGAAAAAGAAAATGAAAAAAACAAGAGCAGCAGCCTCAGCCCCGCCCCGTCCCCTCATCCTCTCCCTCACATCCAGTCTTCCCTTCTCCACCAGTTTTACTCCTCATAACGGATAAAGGTCATGAAAATAGATGGAATTATTAATCAGATATGATGGTATCCTCCAACAGAAAAGGAGGTAGACCAGTAGAATCGCCTGTCTCTGAGGTACCTTCTGTTGAACTAGATGTAAGAATGTTGAATCTCCCAAGTGACCTTTCCAGCCCAGATTCTAAATACGAAGTGAAATGCCGGAAAAGGTAAACTAAAGTTTGCAATTCTGAATCTTGAAACTGGTGGGGAAGGAAAGGACGCCAACGGGCCAAAAAAATGTCTGTGTACAAAGTTCCATATCTAAAATCGCTTCCAATCTTTCCCTCCACATTAGTGATAATTTTATTGAACGCAAAGCGCGTAATGAGGGAGGAGAAGATGCAAACCATTTTGCCATTATTTCCCTCTGAGCCAAAAGTGTGGATCCATTTTACGATGTATCGAGACATTGTGGAGGGAGGTTTCCAGCTACCAAACAGGCATAGACATGGTTCCTTGGAAAGGGTGACACCCTGAACCACTGAGTTATAGGACAGCACCTCCTCCCAATAAGATGAAATTTCAGCACATTCCCACAGGCAGCGATATAATGGTGCTCCCACATGGCCACATTTAGAGCAAGCCTGTAAATAAGGAGTGGGGGCGTGTATCTTGTAAAATCACCGAAATATGGAATTGAGTTTCTCTCCACGTTTCATTTGGAGTACAGAGTCTAATTTGTTGGAGACCTTGTAATAGTTTATCGCAAAGATCCTCTACAGGAAATTCCTTGCACCATTTTTTGTGAAAAGAGGTAGAATACCTTTTAAGAAAATTAAATTGGAAATAGAGCGAAGATAAGCAGTATGCACACAAATTTCCAAGAGAATCCAATATAGTTGGTTTAAGAAGGTATTGTGGGTTTCACTCCTCCAAAAATGAGTAATCTGGGAATAGTATAGAAAGTGACTACTGGGAATGTTATAAACGTTGCACAATTCCTAAAAAGAGAATGATCTACATGGTGCACAAAGAGACGTTCCATTTAAAAAAAAAAACCCATGTGACTGCCAAAGGGAATATGCTTTGTATTCTTGATCCTGAGGGAATTGTGGGTTGCCCCGTATGGGTAAATATTTAGAAATATAAGGATGGGAGTCGAGGCGATGTCTGGTCTCATGCCATACCACTATTGTGTCTCTTAATAATATGTTGGATTTAAGATGTTAAAGGAGTTTAGAGATACGAGAATGTAGTGCAGGCAGTGACCACGCCTCAGCCATCCCCTGCTCAATATCATAGAGTAACGAGAGGCTCCATTCAGCCAATCTAGGGAATGTCTGAACAAGCAAGCCAAATTACTGCAGACAGCTTTTACAAGACCTCTTGTTTGGTTGTGCCTATTGCCTGCTTTCAATGGAGAATCGTTTGGCAGTAGTCTGTTGCTTAAAAAAAATCTAGCATACTGTAAAGGAGACAACCACTTGTGGGCAATCATGTTATACTATCACATTCTACAATTCTTTACAAAATACATTTAGCCATTTTAAATCATTCTCCTCCACAATTAAATTTTTAAGTCCAAAGTCTCAATCATAGTTGCACAAACAGGTGGTAAGGCCAAGTTTGACACAAGTTATTGGATCTATAGCTACCCATGAGCCGGAGGGGAAAAACTACAAAAATGTTGTGTGGGATGAATTGGATATTTTCCCTAATACTTGTGTATTCTTTGTTTCAGCCCATCACTGCCTCAGCTGCCTTTATCCTGGGAGAAGTGTGTCGAGATAAAAATGATGCTGTCCTCCCGCTGGTTCGGCTCCTTCTCCACCACCAGAAACTAGTACCGTTTGTGGCAACCATAGCACAATTGGACCTGAACGACACACAGTATGTACCTATGTAAATACATTTTAAAATGGTTCTGGTTAGTGACTCCATGTTGTTCATTGCACAAGCACCTTCTTTTTTTTTTTTATAGAGAAGCGAATACTATTTTTCGAGGAAACTCCCTGGCCACTCGTTGCATGGATGAGACAATGAAGATAGTCGGTAACCATTATCTGAAAGTGACCCTGAAGAGTGTTGTAGATGAGGTAACTATGTATAATATGTTTGGGTACTCATTTTGGTAAACAATATTGATTTAGCACTGTGCGAAGTACTGTATATTTGTTAGTCCTTTGAATAATAATGCGATCCTAATCACAATTTTACAATGTACATTATCTGGGACAAACATAAACTAGGTAGATCCTTGTGGCCATTAAGCTGCATCTCATTTTCTAGCTTGGTCATTTAGGGTGTTGTAGGATCATCCTGTATATCACAAAGACACATGATGGTGATTCCAATACCGTAAACTCCCCATTATCCGGCATTCAAGCAGTCAGGACGGTCAAGCAACCAGAAAAAAAAATCAAGTACATGCGTCCTCATTTTTTTGCCAGTTGCTTGATAGACATGTGCACACTAAACATTTTTGTTAGCAACTAAGATTTATTTAGTTGCTAACGAAATTCTCTGTTTACATCTTGCTCCAGCCGCCGGCTAGATTCCGCTGCTAGTAGGTGAATGTAAACAACGGGCAGTGGGCACGTGCAATAGCCAGCCTGCTATTGGTTGTGGCCATTTGAATTGGCCAAACGCAGAATCTAGCCAGCAGATGAATGAGACGGGGTGGTGTTCGTTGAGAGTTCATAGTAACGACAGTTATCCGGCATCTACCAATCCTCATGGGTACTGGATAACTGAGAGTTTACTGTACATATATTAGCTAACTATTTGTATATCTCCTCTCCTCTGTGTTTTATAGTCTTTCTAAGACCTAGATGGCTATTCCTACAATATATCCATATACTTGCATTAGTTTTAAGTAGTATTTATTCAGTTTTAGCTTTTCCTTTTCAAACAAAAAGAATGCTCACTCCCGACTTCATATTTTAGATATGCGATTCCCTGAAGCCCTGTGAAATAGACCCTAATCGCCTGAGAGAGGGGGACAATGTGGAAAACCACAAGGTGCGTCTTCTATTTATAGAGCTAATTTCTTTGTATGGCTTCCTATATTAATGCTTCTTGTTTTTGCAGTTTTTAACTCAAGTGCTTAATACAAGTATTTTTAAAAAATGATATTTATTTTATAACATAAGACAAACATATCAACAAAACCACAAAAATTCAGCTTTCCCAAAATACAGAGAATTATACAACCACATCAAAATATCAGTGAAAAAAGTTCACTATTAATATCCTCTCTTTGAAACCC